ACTTGGATGACTTCTGTCTAACCTAGTTTTTTGTGCTCTATCCAAATTTAAAAGAACCTAGAAGAGATATTAGTGTCGTTGGCTCGATGATATCCTCCTACCGGGCTCGATTGGTACAATGGAGACCAGAAAAGTCTTTAAAAGTTTCTTATTATCGAATCACATTTCAATAAAAATATGATATTCGTGATAAGTGCGGCGAACTCTATAGAACTAAAGATAAAACCTTTGTATTAAAGATAAACCGTTTTTTGCGATCTCTGGAGGGATAACACAGGTACAATAATTTTTCAAGTCAGATTTCAAAGTTCTGACCCAACAAAAAAATCTCAGAAAAGTACCACCATAAATGTGAAAATGTTACTCAGTTCCGATTTTGTGGAATGAAAAATTGTGGAATCACCAGTCTTCCTTTCATATAGTCTCTTTGAGATCGACACCAAGTTCCCGAGACCAAGGCTGAAATTGCTATTGTGCTTGAATATAGCCAAGAAGGAGATCGAGGCTAATTGGTACCGAGACCAATATTCATCGATAACAAGGTCGAAACTCACCGAGACCGACACTCATCGAGGCTGACCGCGAACGAGACCAAGACCGAAACTGCGACCGCGATGACTGACACCGAGATGAGAAGTCTCGGTCTCGGTGCACCCCTAGTCGTAACTAGTGACAGTTTCTATAACTTTTTCAATCCTATCTAAGCATCGTCCTTTTAACATGTCACTCTGCCCAGCGGTGATATCTTCAAACTTCAAGTACCATCCCTAGGGGTCCCGAAAAAGTTATAAGGACGACTATTAAGTAGATCTCAAACAGTTAAAGAAACCATCCCAGTGTAAGTCCACAAAATTTACGGAACCACCTCCAGGTAGGATGCAAAAATTCACAGGTATCGTCCCAAGATAGGGCCTAAGGGATTGTAGGGACTATCCTTAATTACGACCCAAATAATACTAGTGACTGAATGCAGGCAATCTAACGACTGTGGACCAATCAGTATATAGAACTGTTTCAGCAGTTCTTTCGTTCATTTGATCTGAACTACGATCTGAGAGCTGTTGTAGCCCTAGTGAGAAAGTGGAAATATATCGATAAATAGAAGTAATCCCACGAGCAATTTCTTTATTGCTTTATTTCTTTCTTATTACTTTATTACTTTTTCCTGGCTTTTAGTTAGTACTATTATTTAGAAATAACAGTTATTACTTTTAATACTTATTACTATATTACTTATTTACTATTATTTCTTTATTACTTTTCAGAATTATTACGTATTACCGGTAATAGTAATGTGCTACCCCTACTAGACATATATAATAAGATCCTAGCTTTGTTCCTTGGTTGTTTACGTTGGCAAGATGAGCGAATTTAACCCTTTACCCCCACGACGGTTCCAGAAGAGACAGTAATAAAATAATTAGTGAAATTGAGTACTGTTATCTTTAGTAGTTCAATAGTATCATCAGATTGGCCAGGATCCTTTACATGTACGCACGGTGATTTGGCAACTCCAGTTGCCATTGGGGGGTGAGGACATGAAAACTACTCTTTTAGTTTTTCGAAAATAGTTTATTGTTTTTGCAAAAAATATCATATATTGTTGTATTCTAACAATACAAACAATAAAAGACTAACACATAAAAAATATTCTTCTTTTTCCTGCGACACATGAGTATCTGAAGCAAGTTTATATGCAGATGATCTCTGATTTTCTTGAAATAACTAAACCGATAAGTAAAGAGCATAATTATTGATACGCTGTTCTTCAACTTCAAATATGATAAGATCTGAAAGAATTACGGTGTGAGTATTGGTGTTGATCTTAGTGTGGTTTGAGTATGTTTTTGTCCAATTTTGACGCTTACAACTATCTACATCTGCTCTAAAGATTTAGATAACAACAAATGATGCTCGTTTTTTATAAATAATGGCAATCTATTTGCCTATTTGTGTATCAACGCAAAAAATTATCGCCTTTAGACGAGAATTTCTAAAACTGCTTTTATGTCCTCACCCCCAATGGCAACTGGAATTGCCATTCCATGTAGTCCAACCTCATGTTCGATTAATCTTTTTTAGGAATTTAAAAAAACATTTCGTTCAACAGCAGCAACTTTCGGCAACATTTATCACATAAAATATCAACAAGATATACATTGCTCATAAATAAAAACAATAAAAGAAGAACAAAGGGTCCTTTTTCTAGATAATCGTCTATTCTTCTCTTTTGTAAGTTTTACGTCTTGGAAACAGAATTATGGTTAAAGATTCTTTTTTTGCCAATCGATAGCTTAGGGAGTTTCCTACAGAAAATACGTAAGAAGATTCTTAATACTTCAGGTGTTAAATTTTTTACGGTGTTTCTAAAAATGGCAATTCCAATTGCCAATGGGGGGTAAAGGGTTAAGAAACAAATATTCGGAAACTATGATTTTCCAAACTTTAATGAGCCTATTCCAGCACTTATTGTCAATTGATCGAGTAACAAGTATTTAGATGCATCGATTAAATATATTAGATAAGAAACTGTATGGCATACTATAATGTATTTTTATATGAATATAAGCTAAAGTGGGTTCATTATTACTAATTTCTTGCATATTCTATTTAAAGAAGAAACGCTTACGCTTATGAGCGCTCGTGAACGTGAGTTGTACACCCCTAACCCAGCAGGATCCATGTTTTTGTGTACTCAAAAAGTGAGTACACTCTAGAGTCGGTCAGTGTGTCCGGCCGGCCGGCCGTTTACATGATAACTTTTGAAAGGAGAGTCCGTTTGCGATGAAATTTTCTACACAGTTTAGTCTCAACAATATCTCGGTCGAGTTCGAAGATGAGAAGTATTGGCCGAGCCGTTCCTGAGTTATTGCAAAAATAGTCATTATTCCGGTATGATGGAAAAAGGCAGAAAGGAAAAATATCGAAAGCGAAAAATGTCGAAAATAAAAATATTGAAAACAAAAATAATACAAATGTAGATGGATAGAAACGCTGAAAACGAGAGTATATTGAAGTACAAATCTCCCTCACTCTACTCTCAATCTTACATGTTCATCTTCATCTCATATTCTTGTTTTCGACATTTTTATTTTCGATATTTTTCCCTTTCGACATTCTTCCTTTCTGTCTTTTTCCATCCATTCATTATTCCCTATGCCTTCCTATACGAAAATCGACCCATCCTTGCTTTCGTAAAAAACTCTTCCTATCATAATCAAATAAAACCCCAACTATTATATACCATTCGATAGAGAATTTCACGAGCTACAAAATGGTATATAAAACATTAAGAAACAACAAGTCTAACTGACCTATTGCAAAGATAATTCAACGGGAATTAGTCCTGTTTTCGTTCACGCTCTAATTGATCCACAATTGGAGCTCTGTCTTTCGATCACAGAGATGATACTTCGAGCTTTTCTGGATCGGAGAATTCAAATCTGATCTCCATTTACCTCGAAATCCTATTGGTCGAGTAGTAACCAATAGAAATCAAGTTATAGGAAAAACGACTGCTTAGGGTAAATCAAGGCGAAGAGTTCAAATCTGAGCTGTATTCGTCTCGAAATCTTATTGGTTGAGCAGTAGCCAATAGAAATCAAGCTTTTATAGAAAAGGTTTGCCAGGATAATTTTTACGTTCACACATTCTAGGATGACTCATCTGTCTTATTCACTTTTTGAAGTACACATAACTCTCGGATTTAAATCCGAGGTTTCCACATTTATTTTACATTGTTTGCAGATTGCAGTAAAGCTAATCAGTTTTTGATGGATTATGTTAGACTCCGACGAATTTAGTAGATTGAACTAAGTTCTAATAGATTTCCGTACATTCCAGCCAATCTATTCTGCAATCTAATACCCTTTATCACGATCCAACAGGATCGACTGAATCCATCAGGATCCATCAGGATCCATCAGGATCCATCAGGATCCATC